GGAGGAGGAGGAGGAGGGTGGGAGGGGGGGGGGACGAGGAGGAGGAGGAGGAGCTGGAGGAGGAGGAGGAGGAGGAGGAGGAGGATGAGGAGGAGGAGGAGGAGGAGCTGGAGGAGTGAGGAGGAGGAGGAGGAGGAGGCGCGACCGTGGCCAACTCGTCGCCCGACGCCTGTCCCCTGCCTGGCGCTCGGGCGCCGACGCCCGAGGGCGGGGGCGAGTCCCGCGCGCGGCCCGTGGCCCGCTGGCCCGCGGGCCCGTGCGTCGGGTGTGCGAGGCGAAGATTTCGAAGGGGCCCCAGGACACACAAACAAATACACACAAAGTACAGCTATTCCACATATGTCCCCATATGTTCTACACATGCATACAGACAACCAAATAAAATATAGCACAAACAACTACACACACAAATAAAGATGTTCCGCAATACCAACTAAAGACAACCAAATACACATAAACACATACACACACATAAAGAGATTGTTGTCTTCCCCCCCCACTTCCCATATGTTCCCACATGTTCCTGGGAATCGACGATTCATTGTGTCAATGTGTGTGTTTTTCCCCTCCTGAGATTTGTCCATACCCACCGCCTGGGAACCGACGACCTGGTGTGAGGCCGGGCCAGGTGTGCGAGGCGAGGGCTTATCCATGTCCGCCGCCTGGGAACCGACGTCCTGGTGTTAGGTCGGGCCTGTCCCCCTACAGGCCCATGTTCGAGGACAATTTGTTGAAAACACAATCAACAGGTCAAACACTACCTCCAAAGTAGTCCCCATACTATTTCCCCATATCCTAAGATGGGGTCTTGTATTTACTTGGACGCCTCCCACTCCCTCCTCTTCTCCTCCTCTCCTCACGGACATACTCATACTCAGACTTACTCATACCCAGACTTACTCATACACGGACTTGCTCAGACTCAGACATACTCATACTCAGACTTACTCATACTCAGACTTACTCATACCTAGACGTACACATACACAGACTTACTCACACACAGACTTACGCGTACCCATACTTACTTATACCCAGACGTACTCATACACAGACTTACGCATACACAGACTTACTCATACTCAGGCCCTCTCATAGTCAGACTTACTCATACGCGGACTTATTCAACATACAGAAGATTCGGAGTATGCCTCAGGCGTGGCGCTGGTTTCAGCACCCCTAAGGGGAGCCGCCAGGGGTGTTTTCACGGGCCCGTTCGCGACCAGTTTGTGGTGATGTTTGGCTGTTTTGGTGGGCAGACGCGTCTACGTTTAAAACAGTTTGTGAGGATGTGTCAGGCGGTGCGGTGGTGTCAGCACCCCTAGAGGGCGCCGCCACGGGGGTGTTTTCACGCGCCCGTTCGCGGCCGGTCTGTGGGGATGTCTCAGGCGGTTTGGCTGTTTTGGTGGGCAGGCTCGTTTGCGTTCAAAGCATATTGTGAGGATGTCTCAGGCGGGGCGCTGGCTTCAGTACCCCTAAAGGGAGCCGCCAGGGGGTAGGACACGGGCCCGTTCGCGGCCAATTTGTGGGGATATCTCAAGCGGTTTTCTCGTTTTCATGCTCAACATCCTTGGCTTTCAAAGCAGATTGTGAGGATGTCTAAGGCGGGGCGCTGGTTTCAGCACCCCTAAGGAGAGCCGCCAGGGGTGTTTTCACGAGCCCGTTCGCGGCCGGTCTGTGGGGATGTCTCAGGCGGTTTGCTCGTTTTCATGCTCAACATCCTTGGCTTTCGAAGCAGATTGTGAGGATGTCTCAGGCTGGGCGCTGGTTTCAGCACCCCTAAAGGGAGCCGCCAGGGGGTAGGACACGGGTCCGTTCGCGGCCAGTTTGTGGGGATATCTCAAGCGGTTTGCTCGTTGTCATGCCCAACATCCTTGGCTTTCAGATCAGATTCTGAGGATGTCTCAGGCGGGGCGCTGGTTTCAGCACCCGTAAAAGGAGCCGCCAGGGGGTAGGACACGGGCCCGTTCGCGGCCAGTTAGTGGGGATGTCTCAGGCGGTTTGTTCGTTTCCATGCCCAACATCCTTGGCTTTCAAAGCAAATTTTGAGGTTGTCTCAGGCTGGGCGCTGGTTTCAGCACCCCTAAAGGGAGCCGCCAGGGGGTAGGACACGGGCCCGTTCGCGGCCAGTTTGTGGTGATATCTCAAGCGGTTTGCTCGTTGTCATGCCCAACATCCTTGGCTTTCAGATCAGATTCTGAGGATGTCTCAGGCGGGGCGCTGGTTTCAGCACCCGTAAAAGGAGCCGCCAGGGGGTAGGACACGGGCCCGTTCGCGGCCAGTTAGTGGGGATGTCTCAGGCGGTTTGTTCGTTTCCATGCCCAACATCCTTGGCTTTCAAAGCAACTTTTGAGGTTGTCTCAGGCGGGGCGCTGGTTTCAGCATTCGTAAAGGTTTCAGCACCCGTAAAAAGAGCCGCCAAGGGGTAGGACGACACGGGCCCGTTCGCGGCGAGTTAGTGGGGATGTCTCAGGCGGTTTGTTCGTTTTCCTGCCCAACATCCTTGGCTTTCAGAGCAGATTTTGAGGATGTTTTAGGCGGGGCGCTGGTTTCAGAACCCCTAAGGGGAGCCGCCAGGGGTGTTTTCACGAGCCCGTCCGCGGCCAGTTTGATGAGGGGGAATGAATGGGGGGCTTATATTCGATCACACTCAAAGCTCACTCTGACTCATACTCACTCACTCGCATTCGGATTCACTCGTCTTCGTTGGCCCTGTCGCCCACGTGGACGCGCTATTATAGTCAAACGCTCATGAACAGACGCTCACTACGGCATGGCATAAAACATGAGATGCACATGTGGGGAGCTCCACGCAGTGAGCAATTCTGTGCCATTTTTGAAATTTCCTCCTGTAGAGGGACAGGCCCGACTTCATCCTGGTGCCCTAGCAGGCGGTGGATATGCATATATCTTGGCCCCCGGGGGCCCGACTACAACCACATCCGCCGCCTGCCGAGGTCTCCGAACATTGATCCTCCGTGCGGTGGTCACGTATAAATTCCCGCCTCGGGTGTGACTGGTCTGCGAATTCCAAAAGGAACAGTTTTGGAATTCCAAAACATTGTCTTTTGAATTCGGAAAACTGGTTGCTTGAATCCAAAAACTGTTTTTTTTCTGCCCGTGGCTCGGTGGCACTTCTCGAGGCTGCCGTGGCTGGAGGGGGCCTCTGCGAGCCATCGAGGGCCGGGCTGCGCCGCGCGCGGCCAGGGCTTCCAGCGGGCCTCCGGCGGCCATGGCTTCCAACGTTTCCCCGTGGTGATAATGAGGATGATGAGGTTGACGATGCTGATGCTGATGATGATGACGATGATGATGCTGATGATGATGCTGATGAGGATGACGATGGGTGATGATGATGATGATGATGATGATGATGATGATGATTATGATGATGATGATGACGATGACGATGATGATGATGATGATGATGATGATGATGATGATGCTGATGCTGATGCTGGTGCTGGTGCTGGTGCTGGTGCTGATGCTGATGCTGCTGATGATGCTGCTCATGATGATGCGGGTGTCGAGGGGTCCTAGCGGATGTTGAAAAATTTGGCGAACACGTCCCGCCGATTTTGGTAGCCGGCTGGGTTCCCGGGGTTCGGGTTCCCGGGTTCCTGGTTATTTATTCCGGGCCGATTTCGGTGGGTTCCGGGTTCCTGGGTTCCCGGGTCCCTGATCGATCTCCTTATCGATCGCTTTATCGATCCCATTTCAAACCATCCACTGATTGGGTATTTTCTCTGGTGTAATCTGCGTTTTGGGTCGTCTCGGAATAACAGTCAGGAAGCGGCGACGCTATGGACAGGAAGAAAGAGGGACGACATGCGAAAGGGAAGGAAGGAGTCTGAAAAGGAATCACAAGTGAGGGAGAGAGGAAGGAAGCAGGTTGGAAAGGATAGAGAAACAACGCAGGAAGCTTGATATGATGAAGGAGGACCGTTTTGCGAGTTCCTGCGGACAGACGCGGCAATGCAAGTGCTTCGGGGGCCACGAACGCAATAGCAGTACAAGCGTGGAGAGTTACATGCTCCCCGGAAGCATCCTAAAATACCGAGCTGCGATGGACCCGTGAATCACTCTACCTTAGCCTGTCATGATGGGAGCCCATGGCCCCATTGGATCAACGACGCGGGCAAGCCCGCGGAAACCTAGCGCGAAGCGCCTTCGTATCAGCACCCGCGCTCATCCTCACCACCGACATTTCAAACATAACATCTGGCCAAGCTCGCATCATAATATTTGCCCAATCACCTCTTCATTTGTTTGGCCATGTTTGGGGCAACAAGGATATCGGCGTAAACCCATTATCGGGCCAAGATTTCTGGACTCTCGGCTTCAATCCATTCCAGCTATGAGAACAAAAAGCCGATGTAATGAAAGAAAACACTCTTAACAAGACATGTTCTAGGAGCCTGCAGTGCAAAACATACAAATACTCAGAACAATCTTTCGCGGGCCCATAGGCGAGCCGGGACGCTCCGCCACTGCTTGATACCTCCTCCTCCCATCGAGCAAGTTGCCCGAATCGTTGATCGGCAGGGGCAGGCTTCGGACTACGCCGCCGAGCGGGGGCGCGGAGCAGAGCGGCTTCGGAAAAACAGCAAGCAGCACAAACATAAACTTTTGGCGCTCCGCCCGGATTCCTTGGATCTGCGCTGGACCCCCCCCTCCCTGGCGCATGGAGCGCGCCAGGGGCGGCGCCGGAGGCGCCGCCAGGGGGGGCCCAGCGCGGATCCAGACATCCGCGCGGAGCGCTGCAATTGAGGGATGAAAAAACGACCCTACCCTGGGTTACAAGTGCGTGGTCTGTAAACCTCCTGGGAACCCCCAAAGACTAGAGCCGCCAGGACGCGGCACATTACGCAGGGTTTACCCTGTCAGCCCACAGGAGTTTCAGAGCACAGCGCCTCGTAAACCAGGGTAGGGGCGTTTTTTGTCCGCCCTTGATGTGAGTTCATGTCCATGCCGCTCTCTCTTCTTCGGAGAGGGGCGGCCTCGGCCCGCACCTCCAGCCGCAGCAGCGTGGTGTGCCGCTGCTGCAGCGGGCAGCCCAGGAAGAGCGTGGTGCCGGCGGCGGCCTGCTGGGCCCCCACCTGCCGGGCGCGGCGGCCCGCGAGGAGGAGTCGATCATCTCTCGGGGATGGACAGGCCTCCCTTTAGTCAGAGCGTGAATTACCTCCCCCGCTTTCGCTTCCAGGCAAAACCAAGCCATACCACGCGCCTCCTCGTCAAGCGTCCTGACCAGTACAGGCCGCAATTTGGCATTGTTTGGTATCTCTTGGAAGCGAGGGTGGTCAAAAGCGAGGTAGGTTTGTTTTCCCCCGATTTAGTAAAACGTGGTTTAATGAAAACGACCTCGGGCCTAAACTTGGCGGGCGCAAGCCCGGAAAATGACGGCCGCGGCGCTCTCTCGAGACCCGAAAAAGGACAATTCACTGATCGACGTGTCAGGGCAGGAGGTCTGTCCACCCCCGGATCTCTGAGATCCGGCGGCTCGGGAGGCCGTCTCGGGCGCCGCGGCCTTCTTGGAGCGATCCGGACCGCTCTGAGAGCGTCCCAGGACGCTCTGGAGCGGACGCGCTCTCGTCCTAAGTAGGCCCCCTCCCAGGGGCGCCAGGTGACTGTACACCTGCGCGGGGCCTGGTCTCGGGGCGATAGTGAACCACCGATCGGTGCAGATGCCTTCCTGGTACGAGAGGGGAGACGAGACGAAGTTCCAGGGCTCGGCCCTGCGGACAACGCAGCGGGGGGGAGCGTAGCCCCATCAAATGTGTGTGTGTGTGTTGGTTGTGTGTGTGTGTGTGTGTGTGTGTGTTGGTTGTGTGTGTGTGTGTGTGTGTGTGTGTGTGTGTGTGTGTGTGTGTGTGTGCGTGCGTGTGTGCGTGCGTGCGTGCGTGTGTGCGTGTGTGTGTATGTATGTATGTATGTATGTATGTATGTGTGTGTGTGTGTGTGTGTGTGTGTGTGTGTGTGTGTGTGTCCTGCCTTCCTCCTCCTTCCCGCCGACGCCGGGCGTTCCACCTCTTTCCACCGCGCATTGCGGCTTAATTCGCATTTGTTCGTCCCATTTCTGCTCTTCCGCCAGCGCAATCACTCTGCCTAGCCACCGACGCAAAATTATATATATATATATGTGTGTGTGTGTGTGTGTGTGTGTGTGTGTGTGTGTGTGTGTGTTAACCAGACATTCCAGAATTGGGCCTTGCTCAGGCACAACTTGTCCGCCGGATCGAATTTTGGAACCCTGGCCATACAAGGGGCAACTTCGCCCCACAAGTACGGCGTGTGACAACGCGATCCCGGGCCCAGGGCGGGCCTGTCCAAGATTGGTGTAGGTGTACCGTTGGCGCCTTCCGGCTTGCGGCGGCGGCGCCGCCGCCACGTTGTCGCGCTCAGCCCCGACGCAGATTGTTCCACTCTGGGCGATTTCGCCATGTGTCACTCTCTGGGACCTTCCCTTCGCACATCCAGCCAGATAATCAGAGCGACGCCGCAAAAAAATTGGGTCTGGAGCCCCGTCGTGCTTTCTCGAAGCGCTGCACTGTTTCGTGACGTCGAACCACGATGGGCCGCCACCGCCGTCGCCGCCTCCGTCGCCGTGCTGTCGCCCTCACTGCCACCGTTGCCGCCGCCGCCGTCGGCGCTGCCGTTGCCCTTTGCCTCTCGCCCTTCAGCCGCCCCCCCCTCTGACTTTTCCCCAATTATAAAGGAAACGCCGACCACTTTGGCGCCTCCAGGGAACACCATGGCGCATCTTGCAATGATTTCTGTCTTGAACTTCACTGCGCGGAGCTATTTGTGGTCCTTGTTTTCTGACCCAGGGTACTGCCCACCCAGTTCTGACGTTTCCGACACGGCTGTGCGACCGCGTTCTTCCAGGCGTCCCGGATTCACAGGCTCACCTGGTAATCGTTTCTAGATGGGCTGGTGGGGATACTTTTTAGTCAGCGGCCGCAGACGAGAGCGCCAGCGGCGAGTCCAGTCAGAACGGGCCGCGCAAAGACGAATTAACCTAAAGCGGTGGGCCGGAGCCTCACGCAACACCTCGGCGGGCACGCCGGCGAGTGGAGGGGGGCTGACAGCAACTGCTGGGGAGCTGCGCTGCCAAGGTGCAGCTGGTGGGGATACTTTTTCGGTCGCGTCCGCCAGCGAGAGCGCAAGCGGAGTCAGAAGCGTCCAGTGACACGGTAACGGCCTAATTAGTTACTAAACGCGCCGCAGGCTGGCTGGCCCACTCACCAAGCAGCCGCGGGGCTGCGCGGGAAAGCTGACAGGCTGAGGGCGTCCAGGGAAGCTCAGGCACATGCAGCCTAGCAAAATGCCAGGGGCTGGTGGGGATACTTTTTTGGTTCGCGGCTCCAAGGCGAGGGACAGGGAGCGGGCACAACGTCCGGGGCGCGGTACGATGTAAATTGGCCGCAGTGGCGTATGCACATGCCAGGGACAAAATGCCCCGTTGGTGGGGATTCGCGAAGCGTCAATAACTATAAAAGGAGCGCCGACCACTTTGGGGCCTGCAGGTGTGTGGGATTGCATCCCCCCCCCCCCCATGTATTCCAAGGCGCAGTGGGCCGAACTCGCCAGGACGAGCTCGCCACGAAGGCTCGCCGTGTGACGATGGGCCCCGCTATCAGCTTTGGCCTTCGCTGCGGGGCGCTTTCGGGAGGCTCTTCCTGCACCGCTTTGGATTGGGCGCCCGAGTTATCCGGGGTAACTCGGGTCCGGGGTAACTCGGGCTTGGATTCCCGAAAAAGGAACCCGAGTTAGCCCTGACCCGAGTTACCCCTGATCCCTGATGATTCGGGGCTCTGGACGCCCGAGTTATCCGGGGTAACTCGGGTCCGGGGTAACTCGGGTTCGGATTCCCGAAAAACGGACCCGAGTTATCCCTGACCCGAGTTACCCCTGATGATTCGGGGCTCTGATTGGACAGGCGCAGACGGACGTTTGGGGGTGACCACGAAAGCCCTGCCCGGCATCACTCCGACATTGGGCGTCACGTAATGGGGGGATCGTGAATGGGGGGGTGGCGAGGGTGGTCCGAAGAGGTACCCAAACGGTACCTAAACGAGCCCCTCTGGGGCTCCAGAGGAGCCAAAAACGGGCACGAAAGGGAACCGTTTCTGACCCCCCCGTTTATGACCCCCCCGTTAAGTCACGCCCAGCGACATTAGCAGACGCCCCTCCCGGGCCCGACACCACTCGGACAACACCCCGGCCCCCCCTCTCGACATCGCTTCGGCCCCGCCGCGGGCCCCTCCCGACATCAGGGGCGGTCTCGGGGCGACGTCGGGGAGGCGCTAGGGGCAGTGTCTGGGCGATGTCGGGGGGAGGGGTGGTGGGATGATGTTAGGGCGGGCGTGTCCCCTATAGGGGGATTTTGGGACGAAAACAACAAATTGTCAAACAGTGTTCCCAACTAGCAACAAACAAATCATCGAAAAATCGTCCCTCGAGTCTTCCTTTGACAACTTTTGAAGATTACCGCTGTAGAGGGACATGCCCGACTTCAGGATGATGTCGGTCGGCGGTGGACAGACCTTCCTTTAGTAGACCTCCCCTCAATGAAAACGGCCTGGGGCCGAAATCGACGGACCTGGACCCGCAAACATGACGGCCGCGACGCCCCCTCGCGAAGCGAAAACGGCCAATGCCTCAATCGACGTGTCAGGGCAGGGGGCCTATCCGCCTCCGAGTCGGGATGAAGCCAGCGCGGTCTCTGGGTGAGGTCGGACACGGCGCCCCGGAGGGGGGAGGGTCGGGCGGCCTCCGCCCGCCCCCCGTCGGCAGAGAGAGGCTGCTCGTGGGGCTGTCCCCACCAGGGCCTCATCGCGGAGACTGCGCGCCCCCCCCCCCAGCAGAGACGAGGACGAGGACGAGGACGAGGACGAGGACGAGGAGGAGGAGGAGGAGGAGGAGGAGGAGGAAGAGGAGGAGGAGGAGGAAGAGGAGGGGGCAAACAGACCTACCTGGCTTTTGACCACCCTCGCTTCCAAGAGATACCAAGCGATGCCAAACTACGGCCTGTACTGGTCAGGCCGCTTGCCGAGGAGGCGCGTGGTACGACTTGGTTTTGCCTGGAAGCGAAAGCGGGGTAGGTAATTCACGCTCTGAAGAAGGAGGAGGAGGAGGAGGAGGAGGAGGAGGAGGAGGGGGAGGAGGAGGCGCAGCCTGGGGGGGGGGAGGCGCCGCCTCCTCGCCGTCTCCCCGCCACCTCCTCGCCGCCTCCTCGCCATCTCCTCGCCATCGCCCCGACGCTGCTGCGCCACCGCCCCGACAGCGGTCCGGCACCGTCCCCGACGCCGCCCCATGCATCACCCCCGACACCGGGGAGGCGTTCGGGGGTGCTGTCAGGGAGGTGTCGGGGGTGATGTCGCGGTGGTGTCGGGGAGGTGTCCGGGGCGACGTCGGGGTGATGTCGGGGGTGATTTCGGGGGGCGCGTCTTCGGAACGTGATGGTGCCGCAAACCCTTCCTCATGAACGGTCCCGGGAAACCTCTTCTGCGCCCACTTCAGGGAGTTCAGCCGCCCCAGCTGGCAATGTGACAGTGGGGGCCCGTCGTCAATGGGGCAATCTGATGGGCCTGTTTTCCACCACCACCACCATAAGTTGGATGGGGAAGGGGTCCTCCTCCTCCTCCTCCTCCTCCTCCTCCTCGCCCTCCTCCTCGTCCTCCTCCTCCTCCTCCTCGCCCTCCTCCTCCTTCCCCCCTCCAACTTATGGTGGTGGTGGTGGAAAACAGGCTCATCACAATCGTGAACGGCTGGGATTCCAGCCACCCCGATTGGTCGTTTGACAAAAGGGGTCCCACTGTCAAAAGACCAGCTGGGCTCGGCCCCCGCCCCGGCGGGGCAACCGCAATGGGTCACTGAAATCACAAGGTGTCATTGTCGAGCGGCCCATCGAGACTGCATGCCGCCGCCAGCCCAATCGGTCATCTGACCATGGGGTCCCATCGTAAGATGGGCAACCTACTCCAGATTTCGTAACAAAAGGGAGGGGGTCTGGACCCTCCAAGACAAGCCATTTCAGACCTCCCGACCTCCCCCGTGGGAGAACCCTCCAAAACATCGTCCCCAGACCCCCCCAGGCCCTCCAAGATAGCCTGGAAGAGACCCCACCCGAAATGAGACCCCCCTCCCTTTATTACGAAATCTGGAGTAGCCTCCGTTCACCCGGCACCCGCCCGCCGCCGCCGACTTGGCATTCGACAGTGGGGCCCCGTTGTCCACCTGAGACTCGGGGCTCCGTTCCGCCCGCGCTCGCCGGGGCTCCGACGGCCCGGTGGGCAGCGAGGTCCCACTGTCCATCGTTGTTTTCGTAGCGGCGTTGGCGATGGATCGCGCCCGACGAGCCGCCGGGGCCAGAGCTCCACACAATCGCCCTCACGCCCCGGCCAGGCGCCGCCCTGCGAACGTGCCGAAGGCCGCGGTGCTGCCCTGCACCGCGCTAGTGCGTCCTCGCACAGCGGGGTGACGGGGGCACAAACAAATTAGCCTTCTGGAGCATGGGCCGGCAATGGCAGGAGTCTAATCCCACCAGCCCTCTGGGCCTGGGTGGTTTAGGGAGTTTCCTCTTCCAGCCCCCCTTCTTCCCCTTCGGGGAGGGGTTCACCCCCCGCCCCCTACCCCCTCCCCTGGACCTGGACGGGGGGGGTCGCAAGCGGTCAGACGGCATTTTTTCCGCCCAAGACGGCTCCAAGAGCGCCTCAGAGAGCCCAAGATGACATCCAAGATGGCTCTAGATAGCGCAAGATGACTTCCAAGATGGTCCAATAAGCCCCAAGAACGCTCCAGGACGGCTCCAAGAGGCATCCGAGACCTCCAAGGAGACCTCCAAGCCAAAATCCTTCAAAAACCTACTTAAGGAAAACCAGCGATTTGTACATCGTCACCCGTTCGCTTCCGATAGCCTTCCGAGGCCTCCAGATGGCCCCAAGATGGCCCCAAGATGGCCCAAGAGGGGCCCAAGAGAGCCTCAAGACGGCCCCAAGAGCGCCCAAGAGCGCTGCAAGAACGCCCCAAGAGGGGTCCAGAAGGGGATTCTTGGGGCTTCCGAGTGGGAGGGCGATGCGACGATCCCCTTCATTGATCGATGTTCTCCAAGATGGCCCCAAGAGCGCCTCGAAAGCTCCCAAGAGCGCCCCAAGAGGGCTCTAATAAGAGGGCCGCAAGAGGCGCCAAGGAGGCCCCAAGTGGCGCCCAAGAGGCTTCCAAGAGGCTCCCAAGAGGCCCCAAGAGGCTCCCCGAGGCACCCAAGACGCTCCAAGAGGCCCCCAGGACCGCTAAGAGGCCCCCAAAACGCTCCAAGAGGCTTCCAAACGGCTTCCAAGAGACATCCGAAGAGACTCTGAGAGGCAACGCGCCTTGGCATCGTTTCTGGATGGGCTGGTGGGGATACGCGAAGCGTCAAGAATTATATCAGCACGCACAAGCGAGACACTTTCCCGCCAAGACCCGACACGCTGGATCTCCTCCTCCGTCTCCTCCGCCTCCTCTTCCCACGCCCTGCCTGCAACCCTCATTAAAGGCTTGGCAATTGAAACGCGCCTTGGTCGTCCAAACTTGGCCCGACAAGTACATCCAAGCGAATCGGATTAAATCGATGTTGCATGCAAGCATTCGTATGGTTTGGTAGTGCGCAAGGGGCTCCCATGCATGGGCAAGGTGCTCCGAAAACTTGAGGCTGTCATCAGCATCTAGTCGCATTTTAAATCGACATGCGCAGAAAGGCGAAGGCCCTTTGCGCCCGCCGACGTGCGTGCCCAATTCATGTTCAAAATCAAATGCGCGTGCCGCATTACTTTGTGCGGCGAACAGGCGCCTTCCACACGACGGAGTCGTGTTGTCCTGGGACCCCTGCCGGCGGACACAAAAGGGCTCTGAACGCATCCCACGGAGCAGGAGAACTGTTGCCGGCGCGGTGGACGTGTTCCGCTCGGCGCACAAGGCAGCATCGTTTAAGACAAATTCTTCTTCAGGAAAGAAGCTCCACAATCGGGGAGACGTAAGACCCGGGTACGGGGGACTCGGAAATCCCCGACGAGGTCGTCAAAAAAATGACGAGGCCGAGCCTGCATTTTGACGAGGCCTCCCGCTGCAGACATCCCACGAAACTCCTCCTCGTCAAAATCCGAGGCGCGGTCGTCCAAAAACGATGGCGAACCCGAGTCCTGGCAAACCCGGGTCTTACGCTCCCCCGACACAAGCGCTTCATGGGCGGGAGCACTTGTTCTTCAGGCGTGCGCGAGCGAGAACAGCCAGCAGCAGCAGCCCGTGCATGAGTTGCCGTCTGCAGGCCTGTGGCGACGGGGCGGGCCCGCGGAGGAGACGAGCCAGGGGCCCGCTTTGGCCCTCGCCGGCTCCTGTCGGCGCGAGGGGTTCGGTGGCAACCGGTCGATCAAGCGGTGGCTAATGGCCACTCGCCCGAACCAATCAATCCTTTGCCCTGGGATCCTTCAAAAGACTTACAGTGGTGCCTCTTCGGCGTCTGCCTCGCGCCCAGTTGGCTTGCCTGACTGCCGCTCAGACGGTGAAGCCGCGGAGGCTTTCATCTCCTCTGTCGTACCTTCGGCCTGGCCCTCGGAGAGCTCCGCGAGGCCCTCGGGCTGCCCTGCGAGGTCCGCCGCCACGGGTCGCCGCTGCGGCCCCTCGCTCGCGACGGCCACGTCCTCGCTCCGCTGCGCCTTGCCGCTGGTGACAAGGTAGACGCCTCCCCTGGCGTGCCCTCCGTCTCCAGAGTCGTCCCGTGCCTTCCGGACTCCCGCCGGCTGGCTCGAGGTCATCACGTCCGCGAGCCCGTTGTATGCGATTCCCAGCATCGCGGCGAGGTTCAGGAGGAGGATGGTCAAGACCACGGGCTTCGACATGGACGCGCGGGCCTGGGGGCGTCTCGCGCCCGGGCCCTCGTCGGAGTCCTGGGACTCCTGCTCCCACAGCTCCGAGCCCGACGAGCTTCCCTCCTCCACAAACTCCTGCGCCGCCGCGCGCCTCTCCAGCTCGCGGGCCCGCGCCGCCGCGGGCTCCCTCTGCGGGGAGGCGCCCCTCGCAGGGGCTGCAGGGTGGAGGCGCCCCCCGCGGGGGCTCCGCCTCAGCTCGGCGGGGTCCAGCGGGGGCGCCTCCCGCGACGCGGCCCGCGCCTTGGCTCGCGCCTCCAGGAGCTGCTGGATCGCCGCGGGGGGCGCCGGCGGCGTGAGGCAAATCACGTGGCCCGCCGGCATCGCTGCGAGGGCTCCGCGGCTGAGGGCGGCCGGCGGCGGCTCGCGGGGCTGGCCTTTGAGCAGGCCGCGCGCTGCTGTGCGAGGGACGCCTTCTTGCTGCCGACGTGCACTTGAGCAAAAATGACTGCGGATGAGGTCCCTCTGTCAAGTTCGCCACTGGAGCTGAAGCACGGTCGCGATGTGGGGACCGCCGACGGCTCATCTGACAATGCGGCCCTATTGGAATATGTTCCGACGGGGTTTGACAAGGAAGTCTCGTTGTCAAATGGGCAACGGGACGGTGAACGGAAACAGTCCCCCCCCCCCCGCCTCTCTGGAGCCTCCCTCGAAGTTGCTAGCTTCGGGGGAGACTGAGCTTGAGCTACGACCCAACAGATCCACCCACATGTCGTCCAAGGTGCGTTGCGTAATCAAGGGCTCCCAACTTCGCGCTTCGCGCTGCGCGAAGCGCGAAGCGCGAATAACTTCGCGCTCTCGCGCCGCCCCCCCAAAGGGAGAAAAGGAGGACGAGGAGGAGGGGGAGAAGGAACGAGGACCGCGAAGCGCGAAGCGCGAATAACTTCGCGCCCTCGTGGGAGCCCTTGGTAATACACAACCCCGTCCAGTTGGGGGGTTCGGGGATGGAGGCGATGGGTATTGCTTTGATGTGCATTGAGAGGCGCTCGCCTGCAAAGATAGCACGCCGCGGCGGCCCCGCGGACCCTCCACGTCGCCGAACCCTCGTGGTTCTGGCACGCGCGGCCGAAATGCCCCGCGGCGTCGCCCCCCACGAGCTCAGCCACCGCGCTCTGCAGGCACTTCCCACGCCACTCGACGGGAGAACTCCCGCGCGCGCGGCGGTTCCCCCGCCCGCGTCCGCCGCGCGGCCGCGGGCGCGGCGGGCGCGCGGCACCGAATGCACCCACAGACATGGGCACGGCGCCGTCCTGCGTCGCCCCGCTGAGCCCCGCCGGACACGCTCCGAGGGCGATCATGGCGCAGGCAGCGCGCACGGCCACTCCGAACTGGATGGAACTGGTCACAAACCTGTGCCGTTCAGAGTAAGGCTGAGGACAGAACTGGCCAACATCTTTTTTCACAGAGGAGGAAGTCACAACTAGATTCGTTCAAACCCACACGTTCGATGGGCCGCCCCATTTTTACGGACCAGTTCTATGACCACCTCTGTCCAGTTGTACCAGCCCCGCGCATTATGTTTATACATCACATCATAGAGCACCCTTAGGACAGTCCACGGGACAACCGCAAGACAACGCACGGGACAACCCATGGGAGAATCTGCAGCATGAGAACCCAAACATGTGGACCGACTTAGCCCTAATGAGCCGCATCAAACGCGTCGTTCCCTCGTCAACCCACGAACGCCCTGAGACGGGCAACAGTAACACCAACATCAGTTCACGCGAAACTCGAAATCGAACGGAGGGGCTGGCGGGTGTGGAATAAGCCTGACGAGAGCACCCGCCATGCATACGGACAAATCACGTCTCCTCACCCCGTTTGCCCTGCGCCCTCCTCGCCACCCCCGCTCCCAGAGGGGGGGGGGGGCCTGCTTCGTCTTCCCTGCCTGCCAATTGGTTGGGTTGGGTTGGTTGGGTCGGGTGGTTGGGCATCCACATCCGTGCCGCAGGCACAGGATTCGACTCTCGAGCGCCCTCGAATCCCACAAAAGATCAGGCAGTCCGCCAGCCACCGTGCAGGCACTGAGTAACCCCTACTGAGGATCCCCAAACCCTATTCGGGATCCCCTCAAAACGCGTGCCACCGTGCAGGCAGTGAGCGGAGTGTCCTTAGAGGTTCTTCCCAAGTTGTCGTACCGAGTCCTGTAACTAGGGCTCCCAACTTCGCGCTTCGCGCTGCGCGAAGCGCGAAGCGCGAATAACTTCGCGCTCTCGCGCCGCCCTCCCAAAGGGAGAAGAGGAGGACGAGGAGGAGGGGGAGGAGGAAGGAGGACCGCGAAGCGCGAAGCGCGAATAACTTCGCGCCCTCGAGGGAGCCCTTGCCGAGGGGGTGACCCGCACTGGCCCCACAGGCCCTCTTGTGCCGGGGTGGCTCCGCCGGCCCCAAGAGGCCGTCCTCGGACCTCCAGGACTCCAACAGGCCCCCGAGAAACCCCCGAGAGACCTCCATCTGCCCCCGAGGCCTTGGAGACGTACCCAAAGAGGCCCCCAAGAGGCTCCCACGAGGCCTCCGGGAGGCCCCGAGGAGCATCCCAAGAGGACCCCACGAGGCATCCAGGAGGCCTCTGAACCACAGCCCAGTCACGGCGGCGGGATGGGCAGAGCGTAAGACTCTGGGGAAGCCTGAGAGCTGAGAGGCCTGGACCCCTGACTTCTGGGCCGCCTCGCGCGCGTCCACGACTCAGTCGCGTGACGCTCCCTCGGGAGCGGCCAAGAGGGGGGTGTCCAAGAGGGGGGGGAGCAAATCATCACCGGCGGCATGTGCGCGGCCCAGCGGGGGGGCCAGGGACGTAATGAAATAAAAAGAGGCGCCATGACATCTGGGGAATCTACGGCCCCCAGAGGCCCCCCAAGAGGGCTCCGCAGGTCTCCAAGATGCCCCCCCCCCAGGGGCCTCCAAAAGATCCCAAGGAGACCACCGAGAAGCATCCAGAGAGGAAGAATGAACGGCATAAGCATGATTTCATGGATCTATGCTGGACCCCCCTCCCTGGCGTGCGGAGCGCGCCAGAGGCGGCGCCGGAGGCGCCGCCAAGGGAGTCCCGGCGCAGATCTAAATAATCAGCGCGGAGCGCCAAACATTTATGTTAATGTCGTTTGTCTTCTTCTTCTTCTTCTTCTTCGGATCTACGTAAGAAGACTGCGGTTCACGATAAAGGCCTGGTAGCGGGATGCGCCAAAGGCCACCCGAGCAGATGCGGGAGCAGAGCACTGAACATAAGCATGTTGCCGACGTGTGCTCCACGTCACGCCGTGAGCCGTACTACTTCCTCCACATCCTGCTGCTCCCTCTCTCCCTGTTCTTTCTCCTCGTCGCCCTTCCTCTCCTTATCCGCCTCCTCGTCGCTCCGCCTCCTCGTCGCACCCTCCTCCCCCCTCCGCCGTATCGATCCTCACACTTCCCTGATCGCAGCCAGATTTAACGCTGTCCTTTTCTCGGTCGCAAGCGACAGCGGACGACCTGTCGCAAGCGATGGTGGAACGCACCGTGTTTGATCACATGATGTTCCGCTCATGGCCAGCTGGCAGTGCCAACATTAGGTCGGGCAGGTCGCCCTATAGGCGGATGTTAAAGACAAATAAAAAACACATGCTCAACAAAATGCTCAACACTAAAAAAATAGTATTCAAATTATTTTTGACTAATTTTGAATTCCCCTCATGTAGAGGGACAGGCCCGACTTACTGCCAGCTCGACGTGGGAGTGGGGACGGACGGGGGAGAGCCGGAGGGAGGAGGGAAGACGGAGGAGGGATGATGATGAAGAAGCAGCAGAATGAGGGTCCGGAGAAGCAGGAGGGGGAGGCAAGGGCGGAGGAGGGAGACTGGTGGCGGGAGGGGGGAATGCATCAATGACCCAGGCGACGTACCCAACCCCTGCGCAATGCGGGGCATGAGTAGCTTGGGAGACGTTACACGGAGGTGATGACGTGACATTGGCGCATATACTTCTGCGATCGGCATTCGTGAGGCTCGCGGCCCCCAAGGACGGCGAGGTCCCGCTCAGATTTGCGTGGTGCCTCACTCCGCTGGACCCACCAGCAGCCCTCGAAAGTGGCGACGGTTTCGCAGATCGCAGCCCCCCAGGGACGGCGAGGTCCGCTCAAATCTGCGCGGTGCTTCACTCCGCTGGACCCACCAGCAGCCCTCGAAAGTCCCGACGGTTTCGCAGATCGCAGCCCCCCAGGGACGGCGAGGTCCCGCTCAAATCTGCGCGGTGCTTCACTCCGCTGGACCCACCAGCAGCCCTCGAAAGTCGCGACGGTTTCGCCGATCGCAGCCCCCCAGGAACGGCGAGGTCCCGCTCAAATCTGCGCGGTGCCTCACTTCGCTGGACCCACTGGCAGCCCTCGAAACTGGAGGCACTTTCGCAGATCGCAGCCCCCCAGGGACGGCGAGGTCCCGCTCAGATCTGCGCGACACCTCACTCCGCTGGACCCACCAGCAGCCCTCGAAAGTCGCGACGGTTTCGCCGATCGCAGCTCCCCAAGCAAGGCATGAGGAGACAAGAAGTAGTGGGGGCGCGAGGCAGGAGGCAGGAGACAGGAGGCGGCAGGAGGATGCGCGAGACATGCTTTCTTCAGAACGCATGCCCAAGGTTTGGGAAACAAGAAAGGAGCGGAAGGTGGTGTGGTAAGGCTTGACTACGAAGAAGACACGGAGAGACACGGGTGAGGGCAGGGTTGCGGGGTGAGGGCGGGGAGACCAACGGCGGGGCGCACGCCTCGATGGCGCCCTCGCAGAAGCTGCTGACGAGGCTCGTGGGCGGGGAGCCCGCTGCGATCCTCTCCTGGTCGTCCTGCTGGAGGAGCCCAGCCCCAGCCCCTTCTGAGAACTGCAGCCGGCGGCTGGGCATCGGCGCGGAGGGCGGCGGAGGCGTCGTCGACGTGCTCGTCGTAATGATCGTCTTCGCCCTCGTCGATGGCCTACATTCTAGAAGCTCATTCTTGCTGATCTGCGGAGACGGTGCTGGGCGTCTTCGCCTCGACGCGGGCGACATTGCCTCTGAAAGCGACGCTCCCGCTCGAGCGCGGGCTTGCTTCCAAATCCTGGCTGTTCAGGCCCCAACTGCGACGACAACGTCCTCACCTCTCACTCCGACCAGCCCTGGCCGGAGAGGCCCCAGAACTCAAGAACGGCGCTATCATTCTATACTTCCTCGCAGGCCAGTTGGTGAAGCCATCATTCAAGAACGGCCAGCCATGTTGGTGAAGGCCCAGTTGCGACGACAACGGCTCCAGTTCGACTTTTCGATGTACTCCGAAACGCCTTGTCCGGAGACGCCCCCGCCCTTAGGAATGGAGCCCCCCCCCGAGTTTGCAATCAACTTGGGCTTGTGAAGACCCAACTACGACGACAACGGCTGCCGCACGGCACTTCCCCGCAATTTACTCCCACGCTACCCGACCCAATGCGCCCGCGTCGCTTTTGCTCGAGATGTCCCACCATGTCCGTCAAGCTGGTGAAAGCGCAACTGCAACGACAACGGCTCCCATGAAATACTTCCCAGGGGCAGAGACGCCCACGCTCTCAAGAATGGCGTCCTCGCCACAGACTTCCTTGCAATCCAGTTGGGTTGGTGAATGCCCACCTACGACGACAATGGCACCCGCTCGGTAAATTCCCTCGGTGTTTTCCCATGCGCCCTGGTCAGATGGGCCCGCGGCGCAATCGCTTGTGACTCTCTCGCCAACTTAGTGAAGACCCGATAGCGATGGCAACGGCTCCAACTCTATACTGCCTCGCAGTTTGCTCCAACGCGCCTCGGCCAGAGACGCTGCCGCCCTCAAGAATGGCGCTCTCGCCCGAGATACACTCGCAATCCACGGGGGGTTGAAGGACTAACTACGTCGACAGCGGCCCTGGTCAAACACACCCGCGACGCTGTCGCTGCAGCTTTCTCGCAACCCAATCCACTTGGTGAAGGACGAACTGCGACGATAACGGCTTCCGCTTGATGCCTCGCAACTCATGCAGAGGAACCATGGCCAAAGACGCCAACGCTCAAGCGTGAAAGCGCAAATGCGCTTGGGCTGGTGACGGCCCAGCTACGACGACAACAGCTCCCGTCGTAAACTTCCTCGCAACCTTGCCCCGAGGCGCCGTGGCAGGAGACGCCCCCACCCTCAAGAATGGCGCTCTCGCCAGGGAGATGTCCTTGCAAACCACTTGGTTTGGCGAATGCCCTACGACGACAACGGCACCCGCTCGATCATTCCCCCTCGGTGTATTCCCACGCGCCCTGGTCAGATGCGCCCGCGGCGCTGTCGCTCGAGACTATCTCGCAACCCAATCAAGTTGGTGAAGGACCACCTGCGACGACAACGGCTTCCGTTCAACACCTCCTCGGGACACACTCCGAAGCGCCTTGGCCAGAGATGCCCCGTTTACTTCAGGGACCCGTGCAATTTGCCCACGGCGGGCGAGGAAGTGTGCCCCCCAAAGGGGGCACGCTCCAAAATACATGAGGGCGGGCACCGAGCGTTGGATGTGCATGTTGAAGGACGTGCACGCAAGTCAAATTGTCGTGGGTTGTCGTGGTCGTGGTGCGGACTCGGAAACTCGGCCGCGCAATGCACTCACGGGAACTGCTGAGTGGCTGGATTCGGTGGCCCAGCCAAGCGCTAACCGCTCGAAACACTCCCAACCCAAGCATACATGAAACTACACCCTGCGAAATGCTTAAGAAATCATGGGTTAAGAAATTCATAGTCTCAGATCTGGGAAAAACCAAACATTTCCATCAAAAATTGGGGATTTACATTGAAACGTTAAGAACAATCGAGACTCTGGCCGAAAACTCAAGTTTTCTTAAGCATCGCCTAAGGTGTAGGCGGAGGGTCCCGCAGGGACACACGACCATGCGCGGAGAATGCACACCATTGTGAAAGCTGCCACGGAACACCGGTGGAAAGCACGGTCGCCAATGTGTCCGTGCCCGCCCGCAGCGAACGATGCTCATACTATCGCCGTGGTCTTGGTCGACGTCGCGGTCGCGGTCGTGGTCGCGGTCGCGGTCGTCGTCGTCGTCGTCGTCGTCGTCATCGTCGTCGTCGTCGTCGTCGTCGTCGTCGTTGTCGTCGGCGTCGTCGTGGTCGTGGTCGTGGTCGTGGTCATGGTCGTGGTCGTGGTCGTGGTCGCGGTCGCGGTCGTCGTCGTCGTCGTCGTGCTCATGGTCGTGGTCGTGGTCGTGGTCGTCGTGGTCGTGGTCCTTGTGTTTGTCGTCCTCGTCGTCGCCATCGTTGCCAGCTTGGTTGTGGGTGTCGCTGCCGTCGGCTGACGGAACGCGGGGGAGGGCAGCTGCCAAATGGGGGTCGCCGCTCCGCGTTCCACATCCCTCTGTCCCTCGCATCCTTCTCCCGGCGGCGAGCCCAGGGCTGAAGTGAGAGGGGGCGGGCCTTCTCAGAAATCTCGGAAGCCACGGCCTTCTGAGAAGTGTCCTAAACAGACGCAGAAACACCTCTCAGAAAGCCAGAGGGCATCCGAGAAGTTCCGCGGCCTTCTGAGGAGGCCTTGGAGCCTTCTCGCTTCCCCCCCTCGCTCGCCACCGATCTTGGCTCTCCGTCCTTCGCCTCCTTCCCCCCCTGCCTCCCTCCTCTCGAGAAGGGGATCGACTACAGAATTGATGCGCGAAATAATAAGTTTGCAGTCGAACCTAACAACAGATGCGATGATTGTTCCGTAGACCTACAGGCCATCTACGTATCTTGCTCGCAGGTCCGACGAGGGAGTCGGCTCTGGAGAAGTTCCATTCTGTAGTCGATCCCCCTGCCCCCTCCCTCCCCCACCTCCCTCCCTCCCTCCTCTTGGGACGCCCGAAATGGGTACGGAAAGAATGGGTACAATGCCCAACAGCAAATGTTTTCCCAAACCGAAAGCGGCCGCTGTTGGGCAGGCGGCCTTCTGCCTCGAATGAACACAGGCCGCGTCGGCGTGGACAGCGAGACCTGTTCAAAAGGAACAAGATCCGCTGTTAGGGCATTCTACCCACTCTTTCTTTCCGTGCCCATTTCGTCCGTGCAGATCCTCGACCCCTCCCTCCCTCCCCGCCTCCCTCCCCCTGCTCCCTCCCTCCCCCTGCTCCCTCCCTCCCCCTGCTCCCTCCCTCCCTCCCTCCCTCCCCCTCCTCCTCCCTCCCCCATGCTCCCTCCCTCCCCCATGCTCCCTCCCTCCCTCCCCCTGCTCCCTCCCTCCCTCCCTCCTCGACCCCCTGCCTCCGTCCTTCCCAGGAGGCCCGCTCGAGGAGGGGCGCCGATCGGCCTCCAGCGGCCGTGCCGGGCGAACGCGATCTCGGCTGAAAGGGCCTCCCTCCCTCCCTCGCTCCCTGCCTCCTCCTCCTCCCCCTCCTCCTCCTCCTCCTCCTCCTCCTCCTCCTCCTCCTCCTCCTCCTATCGCTATCGCTATCGGCTCGATGTCCAGTTGGACGCAGCCGTCCGCGCGGCCGAAGCTACGCGCGCGCGCCCGAGGCGCGTGGGGGGGGGTCACCCCCCGACACATGCTCCCGCCAGAGGGGCGGGGGCCGAAAAGGACCGAGAAAACGGGCCCAGGAGTTTCGGGGACGAGGAAGGAGGAAGAGGGGGCTCATTAAAGGCCTGAAGAGGAAGGCTCCTCCTCCCTCCCTCGCTCCCTGCCTCCTCCTTCTCCCCTCCTCCCTCCTCCTCCTCCTCCTCCTCCTCCTCCTCCTCCTCCTCCTCCTCCTCCTCCTCCTCCTCCCCTCCTCCTCCTCCTCCTCCTCCTCCTCCCCCTCCCCCTCCTCCCCTTCATCCATCTCTCCCTTCCCCCCCCCCTCCTCCCGTCTCGCTCCTCCGTCACCCCTCCCTGTTCTCCTCCTCCTCCCTTCTCCGCCCTCCTCCTCCCCCTCCCCCTCCCACTCCTCCTCCCCCCCCCTCCCACTCCGCCTCCCCCCCCCCTCCCCCTCCCACTCCCACTCCCACTCTCCTTGTCCCTCCCGCTCCTCCTCCCCCCTCCTCCCCCCTCCCCTTTTGCCTCCGACGGCCGGGAGCACCCCCTGCCCTCCTCGACGGCGTCAGGAGCCACGAGAGCCCACAACATCTGCCAGATCAGTGGCGCCCAGAGCCCTCGCCCCCCCCCTCTAGAGTAGCAAGTATCAGCGTAAATACAGACGCAGCGCGGCCAGGGGGGGATCCTTCACCGATCCACGCAGTCCGCGCGGAACTCCGATAGCACGTTCTCGTGCGTTGCATTCTTCTCCGAATCTCTCCCCAGCGCTTTCTCGTGGCGCGGCTGCCCGCGCAGGGCGACCCTCCCTTCCTCCTCCCCGTCGGTGGCATCTCATGGGAGCCTCCCATACCATCTTGTCGGCTCTTGCGAATCAGCGCCAGTCGACGCTAAATCGACGCTAATCGACGCTATATCGACGCTATATCGACGCTACTCGACGCTAACCGATGCTAAATCGGCGCTACCCCATCGACTCCCAATTGACGCTAGACGACGGTAAAGACGGAATTGCGAGGGTACATCAGGCTCCCATGATTTGCTACCGAACTCCCCCATGCAGGATGGCCCAGAATCCAACCCGGGCTCGGCGATTGAGATGAAGCAGATTGGCGGACGTCGCCAGCCAAGTCTGATGGGCCAATTCTGCACCACCACTTCCATGGGCAGGACGGATGAGAAGGGAGGATGGGGAGGTTCTCCTCCTCCTCCTCCTCCTCCTCCTCCTCCTCCTCCTCCTCCCTCTCCTACATCTGGTAGTGGTGATGGAGAAGTCGGCCCATCGAAGTCGGCGCCCGCCAGACCTCCGGGAGACGTCGGAGGTCGGGGCCCGCAAAGGCGCTCGGCGACGGCCGCGCCAGGGCGCAGAGGAAGTGCTTGTGCTGTGCGCTTCTGTGGGAGAGGCCGTGGCTGAGGCTGATGCTGCGCCCACGTCGTCCGAGGGGGACGGCCCTGCGCGGGGCTAGGTGGTGGCAGTGGGGCGCCGGCATCACTCGAACGTCGCATATCATATCCGGGCCGACTTATTTCATACCCTGTGGTTGTGTCGCCGTTGGACGTGTTGTGCGGGACAAGACGAATCTTCAAAAATTGCCCACATGTCAACATCTGATGCCACTGATTCCCATTCCTTTGCGCACGTCGTACAAACAACAACTGCAATGCCGTCAATGCCCCGAACGACGAGCGTCCGACCCGACAGAAACTGTCTAGCGCAATTCTGCCTGAGCTGAATAGCCAGAAAGCGTCCGCCACGGAGCGACGTGTACACGACTCGTGAGGGCGCGCGTCGCCCCAGCGTTGCTGCATATCCGGGGGACCGAATCTGTCCCGTCGCGCCGCTGTCCGCGTCGAATTCGTGCCAATCCACGCCAAGGCTACGAGTCGACGCCGAACGTGTGTGGGACACCAAGACAAAACGCCGTTTGCACGCGACAGGCGAGGCCCCCCGAAGCTGCAACGCAACCTGCGCGGCCGACAAACACACAGTATGATTATGTGAAAGCTCATGGGAGCCTCCTGTGTGGTTTTGCTGGCTCTTGCGATTCTACGCTGACCGACGCTGAAGTGACGCTGGATCAGCGCCAGTCGACGCTACATCGGAGCTGTCCCATCCAGTGCCAAACGCTACGTAACGCACGGCAGTGCCCTCTGATGACGCAACTGCGAGGACTGCGAAAATGAGCATTGGACGCTCGGATCATCAGGGATAATTGCGGTCTGGGGTAACTCCGGCCCGCTTGGACCCGCGTGGCACGAACCCGTGGCTGCCTCCCCTCCTCCTCCTGATCCTCCTCCCTCCTCCTCCTCCTCCTTCCCTCCCTCCCTCCCTCCCTCCCTCCCTCCCTCCCTCCCTCCCTCCCTCCCTCCCTCCCTCCCTCCCTCCCTCCCTCCCTCCCTCCCCCCTTCCCTCCCTCCCTCCCTCCCTCCCTCCCTCCTCCCTCCCTCCCTCCCTCCCTCCCTCCTCCTCCCTCCCTCCCTCCCTCCCTCCTCCCTCCCTCCCTCCCTCCCTCCCTCCCTCCCTCCCTCCCTCCCTCCCTCCCTCCCTCCCTCCCTCCTCCCTCCCTCCCTCCCTCCCTCCCTCCCTCCCTCCCTCCCTCCCTCCCCTCCCTCCCTCCCTCCCTCCTCCCTCCTCCCCCCTCCTCCTCCCCTCCTCCTCCTCCTCCTCCTCCTCCTCCTCCTCCTCCTCCTCCTCCTCCTCCTCCTCCCCTCCTCCTCCTCCTCCTCCTCCTCCTCCTCCTCCTCCTCCTCCTCTTCCTCCTCCTTCTCCTTCTCCTTCTCCTCCTTCTCCTCCTCCACCTCCGCCTCCTCCTCCAGGACCGGCGAAGGCCCCCGGAGGCCGAGCACTGCCAGAAGCCCGCCGCTCCGATTTTCGTGGGAGCGTCGGACCTCTCGGCTGCGGCTACGCAGGCGTGGGTAGCAGTGAGCGTTGGTGCGCTGCCGTTTGGGGGCCGCGAGAAGGGGACCAAGAGCAGGCGCGCAAGACGCCACTGCCGCCCGGGGGACCCCAATGGGCCCGCACCACAGGTCCCTCCGGCGAAAGCTCACTCTCACATCCAGTCGAATCTCTACGGACGCGCGGCTGCCCGGCCGGGCGTCCTGGTAGACGTCGTCCAGCTGGGAGCCTCGAGATTGGTGGGCCTATTCTCCACCACCACAACCACAAGCTGGAGGGGGGATAGAAGGTTGGATGCTCGTTCTGGGGACGTTCCTGGACCCACTCGCTCCACTCGTGCGTCGAAGCTGCGTCGAGCGTCAGTCGATTTGGGTCGACCCTGAGTCGAACCTGAGTCGAACTTGAGTCGAACTTGAGTCGAACTTGAGTCGAACTTGAGTCGAACTGGGGTCGAACAGATCCGTTAGGTGGGCTCCAGGAAGGTCCCCGAAACGAGCATCGAAAGAAGGTGGATGAGGTGGATGGGGAGGAGGAGGAGGAGGAGGAGGAGGAGGAGGAGGAGGAGGAGGAGGAGGAGGAGGAGGAGGGAGAGGAGGACCCCCTCCCCCTCCTACTTGTGGTGGTGGAGGTGGAGAACAAGCCTTCCAGAAAAGGGGGCCGCCGGTGGCCAGGATGCCCCGGGGCCGGGCCGCGCGGTCGGTTGGGCTCGGCGGGGGCAGGGGCCGGAGGAGGGGCGGCTGGCCATCACCGACGAAGCTCCAAGGCTCCTCCCTCTCCTCCTCTCCTCCTCCTCCTCCTCCTCCTCTCCTCCTCCTCATCTTAATATTGTGTTGTTTATTATTATTTGTTTTCTTTTTCTTCTGATGTTTCGTCTTCCTTGTCTTATTATTATGATTACTGTGATTACTAGTATTACCAGTAGTACTACTATTATTATGGTAGTATTATGTATTATTTTATTATTATTATTATCCTTCAAATTAGTATTGTTTTAGTTTTGTTCTCCTCCTCCTCCTCCTCCTCCTCCTACCCAGGCCTCGTCCTCCCCTTCCTCCTCCCCAGCCCCCCCCGCGCTGCGACAAAAATCGCGACGGGAACGTCTTCGTAATTTTCCGCCTCCGGGGGCCATTCCGGGGCCTCAGGACCGTGCAAAACCGACTCAGGATGAAAAGCCCGTCCCCGGGAAGGGGTCCAGACCTCTTGGGGTCGACGCAGCGAAACAATCACGACGTCAGGGACCCGAGTCCTCCCCGAGCCACCTCGTGGCCGATGGCTCCGGAGTCCAGGTCAGACACACAGGGCTTGCACTGCCTCCGCCTCCTCCACCCCGAGCCTTACTTTCCTCGTCGTCCTCCCCTCCCCCTCCCTCTCCCCCTCCCCCCATCGGTGGGAACAGCCTCTCGAGGTCCGTCTGCTTTCCTCCCAAGCTGCTCCATGCCGTGTGGGCGCCACGCCTGCGCGAGCTGCGGGTTGGCGCGCGAAGCGCGCCGACGGCGACGTTGGCCCGCGCGGGCGCGGGCAAGGCACACGCCCTCGGCGGATACGAAAGGGGGCCATTGAAAACAGTCGTCGTGGGCAACCTCCGCGTGCCGCCGCCCGCCGCCCCGCGCCGCCCTCCCCGCGTGCCGGCGCGCCGCTGCGAGTCCAGACCGTCGTCGCTCCCTGCAGGTCCGCTTGTGCTCGCCGACGGCGCAAGTCTGGCAGTGGCGGGGGCCGCAGCGAACGGACGTCCAGATCCAGCGGAAGCGCACCGCCACCACTTTGAGGCCAAACGCCACGCACGCCCTGCCCCTCCCCCGCAGAAACATCGTCGAACAGTGACCTCGTCGAGCACGCGCGGGCGGGAGCGGGAAAATCCGCCCAAGGGCCCCGATTGGCGAAGCATGGGCGATTGGGGATGAATCCCTGCCCCCTCTTCCTCCTCCTCCTCTGCCTCCTCCTCCTCCTCCTCTGCCTCCTCCTCCTCCTCCTCCTCCTCCTCCTCCTACATCATCCCCCTCCTCCTGCAGATCCTCAGGGAGGATCGGCAAGGGAACAATAACAATGATTTCTCAGACCGCTACGCCTAACGCAAGTGTTAACGATCAACCCCTTGAACCTAACGGCGTCGATCGCAACGCACCAATAATAATACGACCGTTCTCGTGGCCCACTGACCCTCGTTATACTTAACACCACCCTTCGACCTGAACGGGCCGCATCAGTGACGGGGAACGCGTTGTAACAACATTGGCGACCTGGGAGAATGAAACATCAGCGCCACACGGATGGGCAATGGTCAAAAGAGCCGAAAGACCAAGCTTAGCGCAACAAGTATGTACACAAACGAACTCGACGTGCGTAGGAATCACCTGCACAGGGTCGCCTGATCATAATGATCAGAACTGGCCCATGGTATCACCATTCGGTATCACCTCCCGGCGCCTCAACGACGCCGAGGTGTGACGGGCGAGTGCGCCCGGCCACTGGCCCTTCCTGCGTCGCTGCGGTGGTAGCGGACCACATCCTCCTCCTCCTCCTCCTCCTCCTCCTCCTCCTCCTCCTCCTCCTCCTCCTCTCCTCCTCCTCCACTCTCCTCCCTCCTCCTCCTCCTCCTCCTCCTCCTCCTCCTCCTCTCCTCCTCCTCATCCTCCTCCTCCTCCTCCTCCTCCTCCTCCTCCTCCTCCTCCTCCTACCTCCTCCTTCCTCCTCCTCCTCCTCCTCCTCCCCTCCTCCTCCTCCTCCTCCTCCTCGCTCCTCCTCCTCCTCCTCCTCCTCCTCCTCCTCCTCCTCCTCCTCCTCCTCCTCCTCCTCTCCTCCTCCTCCTCCTCCTCCTCCTCCTCCTCCTCCTCCTCCGCCTCCTCCTCCTCCTCCTCCTCCTCCTCCTCCTCTCCTCCTCCTCCTCCTCCTCCTCCTCCTCCTCCTCCTCCTCTCCTCCTCCTCCTCTCCTCCTCCTCTCCTCCTCCTCCTCCTCCTCCCCCTCCTCCTCCTCCCCCCAGCCTGGGCAACCTGTCGGCGGCATTGCCAAGGGGCGCAGTCGTCCGTGCTCGACCAGGCACTCTGGAACTGCTCGGCGTCGGTCCAGCACCCGCGACGGCCATCGCCGTCAACATGGCTCGGAACTTTCGGGTCGGGCGAAAGGGGGGGATAGCAAAGGGGGAGTTTGAGAATCAGCTCACGTAGCTGATTTTCCCGGCGCCTCCCGGCGCCGGAGGCGGCCATGTATCAAGGAATGGCCCCTCGGTGAGGCCGAAACCAGCTGCATGCAGCAAAATTCGTAACCCCCCCTTTCCCAATCCCCCCCTTTCGCCCGGCCCGAAACTTGGCGGTCTTGTTGGTAACTGGGCCATGGAAAGCAGCGGCATCCCAGGAAGCGCGGTCAGGTGTGCGCAGGTTGCGCGGGAAGTGGGGGTTGTCGTGCCTCATGCGGCGGAGCTCGTGACCACTTTTGGGGGTTACCCAACCAGCGGCCGCCCTCTAGCCGCGTGCCAAAATCGCAACCCGGTAGCATCACCTGCCACAGAATTGAATCTTTGCGCTGGTTCGAACGGTGTCTGCCGCCTGGAGCAGTCAACGGTAACAGGCCAGCATGCGCGCTGATGGAACGAACGTTGGTGGACATCGAAACCTTGGAGATCGTCTGGTACCAGACGTCTCTCTAGCGGCTCCAGGTATGGCTGGAGATCGCCCCGGTATAGAATGCTCGATGGTATCGTACCGTTTGTAGAACACCCCTGTCCCATCGGCTATCTTGAGGAAATGCTCGGCTAACTCTTGGGCGGTAAGCCTGACGGCCATGGTGCCCTTGGCGACCTCCCCACAGTTACTCCGCGACTGCTCGCACGGGTTCCCAGGCAAGCACGCGCCAAACCAGGTGGCGACCGACTCCAGCAACGCCTTCTCCTGTAACTCCAGCAAGACAGGGCTAGGACCGGGATAAATCGCTCCAGAGCGTTCCGGAGCGCTCTCAGAGCGTTCCGGAACGCTCTGGAGCGGCCGCGGCGCCCGATACATCCTCCAAACCCGCCCATTCTCAGAGATTTCGAGTTATCCCGATCCGATTTTGTCCCGATCTTCGCGTCGTTTGATCCAGATGGATCTGCATGTAGATCTGCGACTGCGGGACATGACTCGGGAACCCCCGGCGCGACCCGGCCGCGGGACCCCCTCTGGGCGCCACTCGGCGAGCTTCCTGCGCGCCGGGCCACCGCGGGGCAATGTGGATTGCAGCGATGAGACTGCTTGAGCCCTTAACTCTTGGGCGGACCCGAGTTATCTGGGGCAACTCGGGTCCGGGGTAACTCGGGTTTGGATTTCCGAAAAAGGAACCCGAGTTAGTCCTGACCCGAGTTACCCCTGATGATTCGGGGCTCTGGGCGCCCGAGTTATCCGGGGCAACTCGGGTCCGGGGTAACTCGGGTTTGGATTCCCGAAAATGGAACCCGAGTTAGTCCTGACCCGAGTTACCCCTGATGATTCGGGGCTCTGGGCGCCCGAGTTATCCGGGGCAACTCGGGTCCGGGGTAACTCGGGTTTGGATTCCCGAAAAAGGAACCCGAGTTAGTCCTGACCCGAGTTGCCCCTGATGATTCGGGGCTCTGGGCGCCCGAGTTATCCGGGGCAACTCGGGTGCGGGGTAACTCGGGTTTGGATTCCCGAAAATGGAACCCGAGTTAGTCCTGACCCGAGTTACCCCTGATGATTCGGGGCTCTGGGCGCCTGAGTTATCCGGAGTAACTCGGGTCCGGGGTAACTCGGGTTCGGATTCCCGAAAATGGAACCCGAGTTAGTCCTGACCCGAGTTACCCCTGATGATTCGGGGCTCTGAAACTCGTGCTTCTCGGCCCGGCGCCCGATTCGGGGCCCCCCCTCCTCCTCCTCCTCTTCCTCCTCCTCCCTCCTCTCCTCCTCCTCCTCCTCCACCTCCTCCTCTCCCCCTCCCCCTCCTCCTCCTCCTCCTCCTCCACCTCCTCCTCCTCCTCCTCCTCCTCCTCCTCCTCCTCCTCCTCCTCCTCCTCTCCCTCCTGGGCCAACCCCCCCCGCGCCCGTCGGCGCCCGGGCGCGCGCGGTAGGAACCCAGGCAGGACCCGAGCCGCCCGTAGCACGCGTTGGCCTCGCGCGGCGCGAGGGGCACGATGTGCGCGAGGATCGAGGGGCACGGGAAGTTCGATGGGGCACGGTGGTATCGAGTCGGGGAGACGTAAGACCCGGGTACGGGAGACTCGGAAATCCCCGACGAGGTCGTCAAAAAAATGACGAGGCCAGCCTGCATTTTGACGAGGCCTCCCGCTGCAGACATCCCACGAAACTCCTCCTCGTCAAAATTCGAGGCGCGGTCGTCAAAAAACGATGGCGAACCCGAGTCCTGGCAAACCCAGGTCTTACGCTCCCCCGAATGGGGCACGGTGGTATCGAGGTGTTTGAAAGCGCGAAGGGGTTCGAGGCGCGAGGGGGTTCGAGGCGCGAGGGGGCCGCGGATCGAGGCCTCGTGAACGAGATGGGCGCGGCGAGCTTGAAGGCCCTAATTCCTCCGCGTTGTTGGCCGTGTTCTGGCCTCGGGAAGCCTCCGGATGACGGTGAACACGGCGACCCCGAACCGCCGATGTTGCGGGAATGCTGCCGGCAACACCAACTGGGCCAAACCTGGAGATGCACGACGTTATTCGAATCGTCTGCCGAGGCTGTGCCCCCGAGTCCCGCCTCTTCTCTCAGCGGCCAATGCCTCGAAGGGGGAATGTCCGGGGATTGGGAGCGAGACGTCGCCTGCGCCCCGGGTTCGAGGGGGCCCCGGGTCGCGCACGCGGCCTTGGCCGCTTCTCCAGGGGAAGTGCCTCCGGGCGCCGAGGGGCGGGATGGGCCACGAGCCCCCGACCACCCGCCCCCCCGGGCGGAAGCCGCCTCCCGCGACCGAGCCCCCCGTTCCCAGAGGCATAAGGAGGAGCGGAGGGGGCGAGGGTCGCAGAGCCCCGCGGCAGCGGACGAGAGGGAGAAGAGGGGAGGCCCGCGGCTCGTGCCCGCGTCTGCCTGGCGGGGCGGGCTTCGACGGCCCCCCTGCCAGCTCCCCTCACTGGCCCCCCTTGCCAATCCCCCCTCCCGCCCCCCCTGTCCACTCCCCCCCGCGGCCCCCCCCCCCCCGCTGACTCCCCCCGCTCACTCTCGCGGCGACCGCAGAGCGGGCGCCGCGCCCGAAGACGGAATCAATCCGCTCGGGGCCCCCCATCTCTCCGATGATCGGGGCGCACTGCGAGAAATCGATGGAAGAGAAAAACCCGAGGTCGCCCGCAGAACCGCGCCGCAGGTAATTAATTCTGGGCGGGGGGGTGGGAGGATTATCGCCGAACGATATCTTTGGTACCGCGCGTAAGCAATACATGAGAAGAACATGCGAATGCGAGCGGACCGTTTAAACACTAAATTCATAATATTGCGGTGTAAACGCACGAGGGCACTCGAGATCTGTAGTCACCCATAGAAAAGGCACGCGCTAAGGGCGCAAGGGTGCCGAAGTTTGCACTTACGGGGCGGCGGACTGCCGACGTCCTCAAGGGTTGACCAATGAAGACCGCGAGCGGCTGGCCGCAGAGGCAAGGGCGCAAAGTTACCCTGAGGACATCCGTGAGTCCTTACTGTGAGTTTGTACTTCCTGACACCCCTCGCACTGATGATAATTGAACTCGCTGCAAAGACTCTTGAATGCGCGCGGGAGCCTGCCTGAGAGAGCCGTGGACAAAAAAACACTGCCGAGCCCAAGAGCACCCACTGAGAAGCTGCAGAACGAGCTGAGCTGAGCTCAGAATGAGCTGACCTCGCCGCTCAACGCGCGCTGGAACCGACGCCAGCACCCCTGCATCGCCTTCTCCCAGGCCGGCTCCGAGACGCCGTGGTCGTCTGGGCCGGGGGGCGCCCTCGGGCGCGCTGCGCCTGGGGACAATGGCGTCTCATTATCCTTGTGCCTCCGCGCCGCCTCGGTGCACTCGGGCGGCGGCTGCCCCTCCTGGCCCAGTCCGCCTCAGACTCGGGGGCGCCGGGCTGGGCGAGCTCGAACGGCGCGCCGGTCCTGGAAGCTCCCGGACGCTGTGGCGCGCTGAGTTTCGAGGAGGGCCGCGGAACGCTGACGGGCGCCAGGTTCCGCCGAAGGCCTGGCGGGCTCCGCGCGGACTCGACGCGCGACGGCGCTGAGCCAGGCGTCGCTGATATTGGTGCGCTGACAGACGCCATCTTCCATAGTGGCCTACTTGGCCCTGCGCAAACTCGACGCGCGCGGGCGCTGAGCCAGGCGTCTGGGGTCTGAAGCGCTGGGGCGGACAATGCCGCTTCGTCGGCATTGTTCTGACAGCCAGAGCCTGGCGCGGAGCCGCCTCGAGCCAACGCGGGCGGCAACAGCAGGATCCTGATAATTCCCGAAACATCTGAAGAAACCCAAGAATCCACAAGAGTCCCAAGACAACCCGAGACACCCCCCGATCACACAAACACCAGGGGAAACCCCAAATAATCCGCAGAACCCGATGAAATCGCAAGAATGCCGAGCAATCCCGAGAAAATCAAAACATGATCCAAATATCAATACATATCTCAGAATCCCCCCCCCCAGGGGGAGAAACGACAAACAAACAAACAAAATGGCATCCCCAGAAGTCCCGACAACCAAAGAATCCCCCAGATGTCCCAAGAGGTGTGCTGTACTGTGTGCCTCCTGTGAGGGGTGTGCTATGCGCAGTCAGCGCTGCGTAGCCTGGGCTCATGCTGGCGGCAGCGCTGGCGATGATGACCCGCTGCGCTCACTGCTGGGCGCGGGTGCACAGTGCTTAGTGCAGAATGCTGACCAAATAGCTTCACGACGCGCGAGTTCTGAAAGCTTGAAAGCTGCACCCTGGGCGTTGGGCAGGCGGCCTCGCGACGCGCGAGCCCTGGAAGCCTGCGTGCTGAGAAGCCCCCGGCTTTGAAACTGTCTGATCGCCCTGAACGGCGAGTGGACTGTGCACGGCATCTTCCTCGCCCTCTTCCCATGCGGTTCCTATTGCAATCCACGGTGGGAAACCTGACCGGACAAGAACGGGAAGCGCCGTTTTTTATCCACCACGTGCGTCAGAGACCGTATTGGCGAGAACGTCAGAGAAACCCATAAACGCAACAGAACAGACTAAATGGTGGCCTGCCGCGCTGGTCTGTCGAGGTAGTCTGCTGCCCTGGCCACATCATGGTGTCGACACCGTGCTTTTCTCTCGGCCACGCGGGCCCCCACCCGTTGTCGCCCAGCCTACTTTTTCTGTTCCAGCCTGTCTTGTCTTTTGTTTGTCCGTCGTCGTCGTCGCGTGCCTTTCCTTTGTCGTGGTCGTCGTTTTCATTATAATCGTCCGCTGTTGCCGTTCTCGCTGTCGCCGTCGTTATCATTTTATGATTGCGGTCGTTTTTCTGATTGTTTTTTTGTTGTTGGATTCCGTGTTCGGTTGGTTTTTGTGTTATGTTTGTGGTCGTTTTCTGTCATCGTTTTTTGTCGTAATTTTCGAGATCGTTATTGACGAAGACGACGACGACGACGATGACGACGACGACGATCTGCCGTGCTTCTGTGGCGTCTGCGGTGCTCCTGTGGTCTGCCGTGCTCCTTCTTGGTTTGCCGTGCTCCTGTGTGGTCTGCCGTGCTCCTGTGCGGTCTTCCGTGCTCCTGTGGTCTGCCGTGCTCCTTTGGGGTCTGCCGTGCTCCTGTGGAGTTTGCCGTGCGAACGTGTGGTCTGCCGTGCTCCTGTGTGGTCTGGCGTGCTCCTGTATGGTCTGCCGTGCTCTTGTGTGGTTTGCCGTGCTCCTGTGTGGTCTGCCGTGCTCCCGTGGGGTCTGCCGTGTCCTGTGTGGTCTGCCGTGCTCCTGTGTGGTCTGCCGTGCTCCTGTGTGGTCTGCCGTGCTCCTTCTTGGTCTGCCGTGCTCATGTGCGGTCTGCCGTGCTCCTGTGCGGTCTGCCGTGCGAACGTGTGGACTGCCGTGCTCATTTGGGGTCTGCCTTGCTCCTTTGTGGTTTGCCGCGCTCCTGTGTGGTCTGCCGTGCTCCTGTGTGGTCAGCAGACCCAGGGCTGAGGGAAGGCTGGAGCAGTGCTCTGGTGGTCCTTCACCCGCCCAGCTCCGTCCCCTCCCACTCTGGACCGATCTTGCGGGAAGCTGGCTTGTGGCAGCGCATCGCGCGTCGGCCGCCAGCCCAGGTGCCGGCCCGGGCGTTCGGTTCGAGCGCCGGCCTGGGTGCCGGAATCGGCCCGGAAGGGGTTCCAGGGCGCCGGGAGCAGAAAATCAATATTTTCGAAAGAAAAATATGTCTCCAGGCCTCGGAATTCAATTTTCCGGCGCGGCCGGCGCCGGAACCGGCCCGGGCGCTGGCCCGTGTGCTGGCCCAGGCGTTCGGCTCGAGCGCCGGCCCGGGTGCCGGAAGCGGCCCGGAAGGGGTTCCCGGGCGCCGGGAGCAGAAAATCAATATTTTCGAAAGAAAAATATGTCTTGGAGTGGCCTTTTTTCGGCACCGCCTCGGAATTCAATTTTCCGGCGCCGGCCGGCGCCGGAACCGGCCCGGGCGCTGGCCCGGGTGCTGGCCCGGGCGTTTGGCTCGAGCGCCGGCCCGGGTGCCGGAAGCGGCCCGGAAGGGGTTCCCGGGCGCCGGGAGCAGAAAATCAATATTTTCGAAAGAAAAATATGTCTTGGAGTGGCCTTTTTTCGGCACCGCCTCGGAATTCAATTTTCCGGCGCCGGCCGGCGCCGGAACCGGCCCAGGCTGCCGTGCTCCTGTGTGGTCAGCCGTGCTCCTGAGGCGTCTACGGTGCTCTTTTGGGGTCTGCCGTACTCATTTGGGGTCTGCCGTGCTCCTGTGGTCGGCCGTGCTCATTTGGGGTCTGCCGCGCGCCTGTGAGATCTGCCGTGCTCCTGTTGGGGAAACGCCAGCGGCGTTCGGGGTACAACAAAAAGGCGCGTTTATGTTGTACCCGCGCGCGGTCTGCCGTGCTCCTGTGGGTTCCGCCGTGCTCCTGTGGCGTCTGCCGTGCTCCTGTGGCGTCTGCCGGGCTCCTGTGTGGTCTGCCGTGCTCCTTTGTGGTCTGCCGTGCTCCTGTGGAGTCTGCCGTGCTCCTGTGTGGT